TTTACGACTAGCCTTAATCGAAAGTTCTCTCTCGTGATCGGGAGGGGTAATTAACTATAGGGGCTTGCGCCTATAGGAAACCAGAACTCAGATCATAAAGTCCTCACAAAATGAGGGCGAAATCTCTGGGTAGTGTCTTATCTACAAACCCATCTGCCTTCCAAAATTTACCTCGGAACTTAATTCGTTAAAACTCCCTCGCCGAAATAAGAAAAGCGAGCGGAGGCCGGGGCCGAATTTTCGGAGCCCACAGCATAAATTCGCAAACAAAACAAAACAATCACCAGTGTTGAATGAACAACAAATATCCTTCGACAGCAGGAAAATTTGAGGCTATTCTTACGGCACAAATTTATAAATTCGCAAACAAAATGCTTAGTCGCAATCATATAGAGAAATGCCTGCAACCTTTTGTTGAGCATGAAAAAATGAAGCCAAAACTGCCATCAGAAGAGCATACAACTCCTAGCACACACTATAGAAAATTTTTAAGTAAATGAGTTTAAAAGAAAACACAAATACAGAACCGGGTTTCCTCCCAAATTAGTTATGATCGTTAGAACTTTGCGAGAACCTTGTTAAACATCAGCAATCCTGTGCTTCAGTCTCCGTTCCTCAGACTCTTCAGATCAGCCTGCATCATCTCCATCAACGTGCCATTTCTATTTCCGTGGAAGAATTAGAGAGAGGGATTCACCGATAGATTCACAAAGGTTGTGCCAAGGAGGTCATCACTTTCGTGCGCCTTATGGTTCTCTGCCCGGGGACTACTTCCTGTACTACTGGACATTGAACCAAATCCAGAATCCTGCAACACTCCTGTTGGTGATGATTCAAATCTTGTCCTCATGTTCCAACCATCAGTCATGAAGTTCAGCGATGAAGTCGATAAATTACTACCCAGGTCCTTCGGGGTGGTGCTTGTGTTAGTCAAAACCTCGCCAAGAGGTCCTCCAATGGTTGGTTCCCAAGAAATTGGTACCCAACTTAAACCTCTTTGGCTGCCAGCATTCAGAGGATCCAACTCAGAAGATAATCTGAAGGGGGGAAATGACAGTTTGTCTTGGATGGGGGAGCAAGGGGATGATGAGAAGCCCAAAGAAGAGATGGGGATCGAAATAGAGAGTTCGGTTCTGTATGATTGCATCTTATCGGCCACATCAGCATCAGAAGGGTTTTTCGACCAATCATCAATAAAATGTCGAAAGGGATGGGATCTAATATGTTGATCATTCATTTCAGGGTTATAGAAAACAAAACTAAGGTTCTCTGAGGAGCAGTTTCCTTGACTGTTAGGTAGGGAATCAGTAGATATCAGTCCCAAGTCTACACGGGTCGATGTTTCTTCAAAGGGATTTTGTTGCTTGGAAATAGGTAACAAGGTACCTGTGGATTTGGATATTAAATCAGTCATCATGGAGAGACCTTGGGAATTTCGTCTTTGGTCGCCTGTATTGTCTTTGTTTATTAGCAACCTGCAAGCAAGCATGAGAAAATTAGGATTTGCTTTGCCAGTTTGTTATTTAGGAAGTAAAGCAATAACCATTTATAATCAGTGAATCGCGTCAAGTGTTGGATGAAAAAAATGATCGAAGGCTAAACCCTACTTGAGGCTACTGTGCAAAAAGGAGGAGAAAAGAAAATGAAAATTATATTGGATCTCATGCAAGGTCTCTGTCAGATACTTGGTCTATTATAAATCAGTGCAAGAGTCAACGCCACATGATGAACTATTTATGTTATAATGGCCATATGGAGGTCGCACAGTTATATTTTCTATTACAAGTGCTTTACACTACTGCCTAAAAGAAGAAACAATAGAGTTTATCGAGTAAGTACTAAAAGTGAGTACTTCTAGTCAGATGCCCATAGAGTGCTGCTAGATGAGATTGACTTTGAGCAACAACTGAGTAAGTATTTCGAGTCATGCTAAATATTACTGTTGATAGGTCCTATCAAAGTGATCATGCCATGGAAAACTTATTGGTAAGCACTTATGACTTAATATTGATGGTTCTTATTGCTTTCTACAACAATTTTCTAGCACAATAATTTCATAAAAGCAACAACAAAATAGTTGCCAAAAGCCGTCCCAAACGACGTCTTAATCATTTTGACTTGAGCAATTTGTTTGTGTTATAGTCCAACTCGGTACAATGTTTACTTGATTTACTTTTCTCGGATGACTATGTTGTACATTAGCTCCTGATTTCTTTAGCCCTTTCTGAAGCCAACAGAACTAAAAGAATGAAAAACAACCACCACTTGATTCACCCTAACTGCTTCCAACGCCTGCTATTTGATCAAAATAATGAATTAGAAATGATGTGACAAGATCTCATCATGTGCCATTCTAGCATTATTCTTAATGAATTTCCATAGGATCAACCAAGCTTAGATTCAAACAATCATATGATTATTATATGTTACTGAACAAGATAATTTAATTTAGATTTATCGGAGCTAAAATAGATGATTCTCCATTCATTTTTTGCCGCCAATTATAGTCCTTTTTAGCTTCATAATAGGAGAGGATGCATAATATTATTTATTCTAATTTGCTTATAGAACTACTTTAAAATCTATTCATGTTTACTAGAAGTATTTCCATAAGATTTATTAATTTTATGACGTGGTACTTAGCAGTTTGAAATAATAATTAAACATTCCAATGACTCTAAATAATTACTGAATGAACCATACTTATTATGTGGGCTTTAATGGAAATCCAATTTCCTAAGGTTATCTCCATGACTCCACGTTATATTCTGGAGAGATGCTGGAATATGGGATATGCTTAATGACAATAAATAACAGAAGTTATATCCTACACTGATCACCAAAAAATAAGCAAAATATCTTTGCCAAAACTTGTGCACAAGCAAAGTAAAAAAACATAACCAATAAAACTATTGTAAATTTTATCCCCCATACACAAAAAACCAATGAATCAGACAACCTTGATTCAGATTCTACCTCTTGTTTGATTCAGGGTTCTGGCCAAAACCAGAACACCTGTTACGCAGCAAGTTATTTATCTTTCTTCACTGAAACTTTAAATTTAAAAAGATGTTTGATATGTTGTTAGATGAACTGCAAATCAAAGAAAAATGATGATTATTTTCTTAAGAAAGTCCATATGTTACCTATCCAATTGCAGGGATGAAGGTTCTGTCCCACTTGATTGTAAGTTTTCGCTCTGCTGCTGAGCAGTGGTAAGGTTGTTAGAAGAACCACCACTGGAAACAGCTGATGCGGATTGTGAAGAAGTGATGGCAGGCACAGCTGCCTTTGCAGCATGGCCAAGGTGGCCTTCCACACGCTTTCTTGAACGATGGCGACCGCGGTTCATGTGTCGCTCGCAGTACTTCTGATCAACAACTGCATCCCTCGAACACCGCCACTTTTTTCCATCGGTTCGACGGCATCTGCCAGGCTCTGGGTCAGCACCTCCAGAGAAACCTGGATGGAAATTTCCCCATCCCACTGCAAACGACCATTTCATTATGAACAAAACTAGCATATGTTTTGATGGCTATGAATTTTAGTGAAAATAAATGAATGCTAAGAGTTGAAAAAGCTTAAATCAATGGCTTGGGTTCATAATCAACAAATGTATTATTGGAATTCCATTTCATTTCCTTCTCTCCTTCAATCCAAGTAAAGCCTTTAGCAACAAGAGAGCAAATCAAAACCAAGAAGAACAAATGCAAATTGGAATTATTCTGAGTAGGTTTATCAAAGCACCGCTTTAAAAATAACAATGCTACAGACAGTAGCAGCCGAGCTACCTCTATAATTCGGAGCTCATAATATTTGAAAAGAAACTGACACCTTATTAACTAGGTAGACCACAGGAGATAATATATGATGGCGTATTAGATAAAATGAGGTGAGCATACTACAAGTAAAAAAAGTTTCAACATTTCTGACTAAACTATTTTTCTAGAGTTCATCATTCAAAACATTTATGTGTTACCTACTGGTCACCAGCTCATTTTGAATTAACAAAGGCTTACATGTGCCTGTTTGTCTAAAAGATCCAGCAGTGAAGGATGAGAACCCAGATTGGTTGTTGCTTCGTCTGATTGTCATGAGCAAATTTGATGGTATTGACATTTTTGCATCTATATACTTGTAGATCAGAGCCTGGTGCTCCAGTTCTAACCACTGCGAAGTGGTGAAGGGTCCTCTGATCCCAGACACAGCTCCATGCATGTTAAGGGTTGAGTTGTCAGAGCACACTCCTGAATAAGGGAAGGTAGATAGATATAAGCATAATATCTAAGAGGACTATGACTACTTAAACCATGTAGCATTACAGACAGGTCGAAACTACAGTTAGGAGAGGCTCCTGAATAAGAATCAAAAGGTAGAAATAGACCCTGTAACGTGAGCGAGAAGAGGGACAAAACCTCTCTAGTGATGTTTGATTTTTCTTTCGAGGATCACACAAACTAACTATATATGAAATAAGTTCTTCACCTTTATCCTTCCAGGTCTTGAAAACAAAATTTATGAGAAAGTAAACTGCAGTTCATTTTTTCCTTAATTTTCTTCTGAGATCTTCGTTTTACACTTTTTTTTCCTTTCAGTATTCCTTGCAAATAATCAGAAGAGAAGGGGCATCCAGCCCACCCAAGACTCCAACTTTGAGGACAAGATCATCTGAGGTCAGGAAAGAAAGATCCCAACTTTTTCAAAAAAAAAATCTCAACTTTTTCACTTTGACAAGACCCAAAGAACAAAAACGCCCATGGAAAAGACGCCTTTACCAATCAGTATCACTTGATAGAGACAAACAACTAAAATAGCCAACCCAACTCCTCTTATACTTTCTAACTTGTTATACCTGCGTTCCTGAAGGTAGGGTAAGCTGAAGAGCATGAAGATGATGATGGATGGTTGAAGAAAGGTAAGTTCCAATGATTATTGAGCACCAAAGCTTCTGGTTTCCATGAAGAAAAGTTCAGCATTTGCTCTCCATCAGGGAAAAGGGTATGAGAGCCGGATCTAAGGAGGCAAGCTGCCGCCTTGCTTGTTGCTGTGAGCATTGTATCACATCTAGCCGTCTTCAAACGACTCCAGTATTCATCATTGTCCTCAACCACAATGGACCTTCCATGCTTGGAGAAACTGGATTGGAACAGTCCCCTTTGCTTGCTGGGTTCAGATTCCAAGGGAAACAAAGAGGAGGGCATACGAATATTGGGGTCAGAATAGACAGAGACCAAGCCATCAGAGCTCAGAGAACAACCTAAATCCATGTCTAGTGTGAGCTGAGATGAGAATGAGAAGGAGAGGGGAGTTCATGAGTTGAAGGGATGTGAAACGGAAATGAGATGAAACGAAGTTGCTGGTGGATTAGAAGCATTTCTAAGTTGTAGTGTTTCCGAAATCAGGAAACCAGGCTGGTTTTCTTATGGCAGCATGTACGCTTCCAGCAAATAATTGTGGAAAGGTGATGTCAGATGTCGATACTGCATCGAATACTAGCCAGATAAATAAGACGATATTTGCTTATTTCTTTCTTATACATTTATATATGTAAAAATATATAAATCCGTGCATTAAATTAAAATGTATCATTTACTTAGAACTCATATAATAAAAAATTTATTATTTTTAATCTTTTAATATTTTTCACATGCTTATATATATTATTATTTTTACTACATTATAAATTATTTATTTTGAGAAATTTATATTTTATAAAAAAAAAATTGCTCCATAAATTTATATTAAATATTAGAAATGTATATCTTTTTTTTATTTGCAAAAAAGATTATCATATTTTTATAATTAAAATCAAAATAAGTAAATGAAGAATTTTTTTTAAACATACTATAATAATATTCTCTTCAAATTTCAATGACCTTATATATATAATCAAAATAAAATAAATTAATAAAGGCCAAAACCAATTCAAAAGACTATAATAATTGTTGGAAATGGAAGTAAAAATGCGTCATGAAATAAACATGAAAAATAGAAAGTAACGGAAACTAAATGACACCAAGATTTAATGTGGAAATTTTGAAATCGAAAAAAATCACAAAATCACACTACACCAATAAATCTCTTGTGAAATGAAAATAAATAAGTGCATCTCTTTTCTCTCTCACTCTCTCATTGCTTATCTACTCTCTTACGTTGTTCTCACACTTAAAACACAAGAGAAAATCATGTTAATAATCCAGAGGGATGCCACCATTCAAAAAAATGAGAAAGAAAATTGTTCAGTCTACCTTGAAGCTCTACGATGCCAGTTTGGAGGGCTGTGTCGTTCAAGCCTCTGTCATCATGATGTTGCGACGCTAAAACTCGCAATGTTGTGACTTCACACAACACTACGACGCCAAATCTATAATGATGTCGGGATTTGCTCTATGTTGTTTCTCCTAGCAAATATTGCAGCACCAAGGCGCTGGGGAACATAACGTTGGGGCACTTGGGTACATGGCATTGGGGTGCTCGGGTACACAGCATCGAGGAGTTATTAGAAAAAAATTTGAATGCAAAGTAGGGGGAGGACTGTAACACCTCATAATCAAATTTAAAAGAACTGTTTATTTTATCTTATTAATTAATCAACTAGAGCTTCTATAAATCATCAAAATAATAAATCTATACCCAGTGACAAGTAATAATCATATACCTTAAAATATTTCATTATATTCCAAAAATCAATATATAATAATGAGGAGATGAATACAATTATTATTCTATCACTAACCCCTGACTACAAAATAATAAAATAAAATATAAAAAAAATGACTATCTATGACAATCGCTTCAACTAGTCATGATTTCTTCCCTAACCTGAAATCATAAAAAATCACATAATGAGCATAAAAGTCTAGCAAATAATTAAAACTCTATCACTATTTTCAATACAAGATAAAAGAATCAATATGTATGTTAAATTCTAGTCATTATTATTCATTACTTAATATGAGCAATAAAAATCAAAAAATTAAAAATAAAATTAATATGATTCAATAAAGTCACCCAATAAGCCATGTTAGTTTGTTATACTATGTTGTATCAATATTAATAACAATACAATTTTAATTATATCTATCAATTAGTTAATATAAAGCAAGTCAAGACAATCAATCTTTAATATCGTGTTTTCTTTTGTACATTTGTTATTTGTCATAACTATTAATATGTCAATCTCATCTTATCTTTTATTTTTTTATTAATCATTTATTTTTCACATGTGGCTTTTAATAATCATTTAAGAGTCATCACCCTCTACCCGTCAGCATAATTTAGTCAATCAGTTATAGGCTATAACTAGGATTAAACCACCAATATTTTCTTTAAAGGAAAGCTCATCAACTTACCTTATTGCACTGGATATTATATTTTAAGAGCTAACTCGTATTCATTATAGTGTCAATAGCCAGCCTGCCCTTGCTTACATGCAAATACAATCTTTTTTATGTAATGTAAGTCAATATAATTTATGAAATACATAAATTTATAAATATTAAAAAATCTATCAAATTTGTATACTATACATTTGCTTCAAAAAATTATATCTTCCACTTTAACTAGTGAAAATGCAATATATTTTTATTAAAATACTCATATTGATGAGATCTATCACATATTAAAAGTTGTATGGTAAATTTTACCAATACAAAATTACCATCATTTTTTTATAACGAAAATAAAAATTTGATTAAAAAATACTAAATTATTGAAATGAAAAATTGGGTACTAGTTTCTTACATCTAGATGGGCGAATTTTTCAACATATCTGATTAACAAAAATAGATTTATGATCTCCAAAACTTAAGTTATTGGTTCTCTCTCAATTTGATTCATATTCTTTGTTTAGGCCAAATAAAAAAGTAAAAAGGATTTTGACCTCCCGCACATTGCCCCACCCAACAAGCATGACAAATTAAATTGAGGTATGAGGCAACAGTATAACCCGATTGATCAACACAATAAGATTCCACACAAAAATAGTAATCTCCCACTTGGAAATTATTGTAATCAATCCTTCTCCCGGTCTATAACACCAATCATGATACATGTAGTATGGCTCACCCCTACTCTCATCCTCCATAAAGACCAACTTAAGCTACGTACACATTGCTTCAGTTTCTTAACTATCACCATCTTCATTAGCATGTAGGATTCTAGGTCCTGTGTATCTTCTCTAAAGATAACTAACAATCTGTGAGACATCGTTCCCTTACTGTTCCTCTCTAGATTGGATTTTCCTCCCAGGATCGTCCGGGACGATATTGAGATCGTCCAGGCATCTGTACTGTTCAAAATATCGTCCTGAAATTAGTTCTAGGAACCGTCCAGGACGATCGATTTTGGTCTGATCGTCCCGGGACGATTTTGCGATCGGCCGGGCCGATCAGCCTAATGATATAAGAAAATCAGCTCGTTTTGAGGAGAGAGAAAATCATTTTAAAAACAAAATATCTGATTTGAGGAGAGAGAAAGAGAAAGGGAAAAGAGGAAAAAGCTTGGTTTTGGAGGCCGCGGAGCACTTTTCGTCCGACGCTACTGTTGGAGAAAGTGTAGATCTCGTGGTAAGGACTCCGAATCCTATTTATGTTTTCAGAGATATTGAGTTTTGATCGAGTTGTGCACTGTTTTGTGTTTTCGTAGTCGAAGCAAAGTGTTCACTGTATTGACGTACGGATTTATTGTTTTGATCGGATTTACTGTTTCGTACAGATTTATAGATTTCATTGATTGATCATTGAGCATGGATACTATTGATTATTGATTATTGACATTGATATGGACATGGACAGCATAGATTTATTGATATTGTATAGACTCATTGATACTATTGATTTTGCATTGTATTGACTTGCTACAATTGATTTATCGTATTGCTTTTCCGATTGATTTTATCGACTCGATTTATGTTATGGATTATGGACTATTGATATGGATTATGGATTATGGATATGGGTTGTATTGATTCTTAGATACCGGCACCGATATTGATATGAATTCTGCGTATTGATTCCTAGATATTGACACCGATATAGATTGTACCGATTGATAGATACCGACATCGACATTGATATGGATATGATATTGACATATGGATACTATTGCTACGACAGATCCTGACATGCTATTGATACACTGATACATTGATTCGTCGTACCGATTATCGATTGATTGATTGAATGGATTGTTGCCGTATGGATTTAATTTATCATAGAATAGATTTCTTTATGGAGCTGATTGTATTGATTTCAATTGACCTGATGATTTCATTGTATGGATTTGTTTTAATTGCTTATTGAGTTGATTCGATTGTTCTATGGATTTCTCTGCTGATAGATATAATTGACTGGAAAGTGCTCTATTGATTGAGATGATTTCCCTATTGTAGCATCGTACGTCGTCATTATTGAATCGATCTTGCTACCGTAGTGTCATTGAATATTGTATATTGATATCAAGTAAATCATATTGAATAATTGGATTGACTGATTTGCAAGAGTACGCTCTGACACGAGTCCCTTATTGAATTAATTGATGATATTGATTGCTATTAATTGACACAGACATTCTATTGATTAGACAGATGATATAGATTCAACGAATTGACTAGACGACACGATTGTTTGAACTGATAGTATTGATTGATAGACACTGCTACGATGGATGGATATTGACTGGAAGCACTTATTGATTTGATTGTTGAGGCGTATTGATTTATCAATGTTTTTATCGCTGTATTGATTATTGATTTCCGTAATGTATTGACTACTGATTTGATTTCCGCTGTACAGACTTGATTTCATCGACTATGAATTTCCGCATTGCATAGACTCATTGACCATTGATTGACTTGATTTGATTGACCTGCATATTGATAGCATCGCCGTGCTTTGATTTAAGTTTTAGGCTTTGGTGACCTGCTGGGCTTTGTAAGCTCATTATATGTGGTTAAAATTTTCAGGTCCGAGCAAAGCAACTGGAATGGAGTTCGATCAGAATGTCAGACGAATCCTTTCACTATTGATATCTGGGACATCACACAATCTTTCGTAAGCAACTATTGAAATGATACCAAAGTTGGATATGCTTTATTTAACATGGAATGCAACATCCTTGGCTAGATGAAAAATGACACTCATGTTGTCACTATGCAACTTCTCATTCCTTTGCCCCTAGTCAAGTTCTGCCAATAAACTTTTCAACCAAATCATTTCCTTGCTAGCCTCAGTGATAACAATGTACTCAACTTCTATGTATAAGAGCATAATAATCTTCTGTAACTTAGAAACCCAACTTACTTAATTCTTTCCCAAAGTGAAGATATAATTTATTGTGATCCCCCTACCATAAAGATCTCTAGCAAGATTAGAATCTACATACCCCTATAGATTAATATTTATACCTCCTAAGCAAAGAACTTTGTCAATTGATCCTCTCAAGTACCTAAGAGTTCACTTGACCTCCTCCCAATAAATAATATAAAGAAGGAGATAGTGGTGAACCATATTTAAATTGTTAAGATTCAGGTGGATCTCTTTATTTCAATAGCAAGAGTCTTAGGTACT